TTGTTTCATATTCCATAGGTTCATGTTTAGGTACTAAAAATAAGATAGTTAATTAGTAAAAACAAAGATTAGAGTAAAATTTATTTTTACTAGCAATATGATTCGTATTATTGGTATAGGATGAATGTGAATTATTATCGTTTCCGTTTGGTATTTGAGAAAAATTTCCAGTTGATGCTGCTGATTGAATTGTATTTGAATGAGAGGATGATGACGGATGATTATGAGAATAATGTGATTGAGCTGTTGCTGGTGAATGTGAACGTCCTGTTAACGTTGAATTAAATGGTCTCAAAGATGATGATGATGATCCATATTCTGATGCTGATGAATTAGGATAATTAACTCCACCATTTGTTGATGAGTCTATATTCGAACGATCAGATAATGTTGTATTTATGGATTGTGGTGATGTATTTGTTGGATGAGGCATCGGTGATCGATCTTTATCATTATTATTCGATGAAAGAGTAGTAGTCCGAGATGAAGATTTCGGTTCGATTTTTCCCGATGGTCCTGTTGATGATGATGATGTCGATTGTTGTTGTTGCTGTTGCTGCTGTTGTTGTTGTAGTTGCTGAAGTTCTTTACGACGATTCTCAACGAAATCTGGTACGACTGCATCGATTAAACTTAGACTATCACATGTTCGTTCTTGTCCATCCTAGATACAAAACAAATAAATTTTTCTTTTTTTCAATGGAGCGCCGATTAATTAAATCAACTGCTCCGATTTTCAAAGATTATGCGTCCGAAATGTCTCGATAACCATTCCGCACGGTGTTTTCAAAAGAAAACAAAATAACCGTGTGTTATTTATTAGCCAAATAAGAAAAAACAGACGCCCTTTTTTGAGTAAAATTTAATCATAAAATTCTCTTTTAAATTCTTCTATCATACAAAATAAAATAGGTGAATTGAAAAATAATATTAAATATAGAATCGTACGACATCTGTTCAAACTTACATCACCAATAGATAATTCGGCTTCAGTATAATAAAGACCCTTCTGTATAAGTGAGAGAAGAGCACCTGGTGGTACACTATTGCCATTAATTGATGTATGAGCAATATGACTTTCAAGACCAAATAAATAAGCTGAATGAACAAAGCCTAAAGAAAAGTAAAAAACCATGTTATTTTCTTTTTTTTTCTATTATATTTTTGTCATTGTTATTTGTCTGTCGTCTATCGACATATTTGATGTTATGAAAGAAAAGAATGTGAAGTACGCTGCTTTATTCTGAAGCAAACATCGATGTGTACTCTATCGCAGGTTTCGTTCTCTTGTTATTGATTTGTCGTTTTAACAAAATGTTTGTCAACACATATGGAATATATTTATGCACATATCCTGTTATTAGACTGTCGTACTATGCAAAATAGTATTGTCAAGAGCGTTACTTGTTCCCTGTACGACCTCAATGTCATTTCTATTTTTCTTTTCTTTTTTTGTGCCAGAAAACACATGCATTATCGAGGCCACAATAAAAC